AGTACAATCCCCTTACGGGAGAAGGAGGTGGATCGTGCCGATTCAGACCTGACCGAAGAGGGCCTTCTGCTGGTGGATGAGGTTAATAACTGTACACACTCCATACCCTCAAAAAGCATCCATTATGATTTGTGAATATGTCTATAAAAATAGGATTTGAATAATGTTTAAAAAAAATTAGCTATAATTTTCCATATACTATGTTATAAATATGCTATCTTTTATTTTTGTTACACATGAGACATATTGAAACTGAAGTTTCTTTTACATAGGAATTGATATTACAGTAATAATATAAATTGTTTCTTAAAACAAGAATTTCACTATATCATAGGAAAGAGAGATGCTTTAAGAAGAGGAAGTGTGTACAATATTGTTGGATATCTTCTTTCTGATATATAAGCTGTTTGAATAACATTGATTAATGTTACATTGAAAAGGAAAAAGTATCCAACAAAGATCATTTTAGTGATTCAGATAATGCCAGTCATAATGAAGTGGTAAGCCAAACCAGCACAGTGCTGTGGCTTACTGTGGATGCTTTAACCTGGCACTGACATGTTCAGAACTGAGTCTTATTAATTTTTTGAGGATTTTATAAAACTCTCTGCCATTTGGAACATGAATGATTGTCTGAATTTATTGAAATGATGTGTGGTGTTCTATGGAATAAATGATTATTTTGTTATTGTATGAATTAGAGGAAAATGTGTTGAACAGAGGGGAAAAACTGGTTTAGCCATTGCTTAAGAAAATGGTCCTCTGTACTATTATTTGTGCTAGTCTATCATCTAAAAGAGAACCTTGGTGTTACAGTACATACATAGAAACTATATTCAATCTATTTTGAACAGTAATCTTGTACTTGATGATATTAGTGTACTTTCTTCTATGATTTTGGTTTATTATTGATCATCAAACCCTTTAAAGTATTCCTGTAGTCTTCAGTAAGTATTTAAGTTTATGATATTGTGACTTGGCCATCCCTACGGAGTGCTACATACTCTTGAATAAATAGTTTGTTGCAACTTTAGCTGTTTTATCTTTCCTGTTAATGATTTGATGTTTCAAGTGACGGGGGTTACTTTTAGGCATTATGTATAAAAAGATATTTGGCAAAATATTGTGAGTATGATTATTTTGCATGTCTTTCCAGACCAGACAAAAGACAAGCTATTAAAAGATAATTAACTGCCTAAGCCATTATTTATTAACCCAAAATACCTCTTGAACATTTTTTTTTTCAAAGTCAAATATTTCTCCAAGATCTCAAAACACAAATACTGTGAAGGAATTAGGAATACTGTAATTTGCTAGTAACATGGATTTACATTCTGTCCACAGTAAAAGATCATACATAACCATGCTTGTGGTAATCTGATAAGAGATGGAGTAAATGTATTCATACATTAATCTTGAAATGGGGTAAACAGGTGAGTTATTGTGGGCTTAGTAACTATATAACTATATAACTTCTTGTTGACTAAGCAGTTGCAGTGCCATCTAGGTTTTAAAAAGTATACTGTGCATGTACCCTCAGCAATTAGGTTGACAGTTGCATAATTTTAACTAGATAGTTTATATAGGAAATTCCTTATGGTAGACAACCTATGAACTGGTTTTGTAGCCCCTTTTTTTTTGTGTAAGTCTGTGGAGTTATACAGTATATATTCTATGTTTGAAGCTTTTACTGGGTTCTATACCTCAAATATGTGTATACCACTTTGAGGCTGTTACTTTAATGTATAACCAATGACAGATACCTTGTAAGTTTACTATGATAATAGAGGCAAATAGCTGCACATTTTGTCATTCTTCATTCACAGCCAATATGTGTACTTCTTTTACTCATATTTTAAGCTTTACCCAGTTAATGCAGCCCTGAACTTCTCATTGATTTTTTTTTGTCAATGTATATTTCTGACCAGCCTATCCAGTTAGATTAAATGTTTCTATTTCAAGAATATGAAAGGAACATAAAATACAGAATACATAAATATCTGAAGGTAGTATTCTTTGGTTTTTACCAATTATTTTATACATCATGTGATTTAGAATAGAGAACTAAACTTCTTGCCTATGCAGATGGTGGCAGTCCTTTTGCATCTGCCTTATCCAAAAGTATCAACACATGATACAGAGTTAAGAATATGAAAGAAGATTCTATTTGATAAGATTCTCTCTCTTCCCTCCCACAGAGTTGTTTGCAAGCAAAGGGTCCAATACATGTTAAAGCAAGTTTCTATTCTATGTCACACTTGCTTACAAATTGAAATTGCACTGTAGACCAGATGCAGAGCAGGGCAATAAACTATGAATCATCGTTGCAATCTATTAATGTCGTAGAATAATAAAACTTGTGAAAAATGTGGGACAAGTGTTTTTTTGATGCAGAAGAAAAAGAAAAGAAAAAATAAATTAATTTCATTTTTGTGGCCTAAGTGTCTTTGGCATTCTGGGAGTGGTAAACGAACATTTTTCAAAATGTACTTAATATCCATAATCAAATATTCAAAATTTCTAACTGCCACCCGCCCATGTACCTAATGACATCTCACTGGCTAGGTCTTCCTGGATAAAGATAATGAGGTCATCTCATTGCTCTTCCTTTATCTCCATAAAAAGAATAATTTCATACACATCTGTCTCCCAGAAGTACATTTTATACAAAAAGTTTGAATTTTCTCTTAGTACCTTAGCCTAAAACCATACATATATACATTTTTGGGGGTGGAGTGGTCCTGTACTGATTTTAGTATTAGTATGCAAGCAATTTTCCGTACCACTGAGAGCGGATAACTGCAATGCATGCAGAGAGTTTTCATTGTGGATACTATTACCAATCATAGCGAGGTGCTGCTCCTATGTGTAAAATATTAGTATTAAAGCACTATTTTGTTTTAATACATATTGGTGAAAACAAGCATTATAATCTGTGGAAAATTTTGATAGCATAGCTATGAAAATAAAGAAATTCAGATTGTAAGCACAGTTCTTTTTATTTTGTATCTTTAATCAAGAAGATAAAGATTAAGTAAAAAAAATAATTCTTTGCTTGATTTTTTATTTTCACTAGAACACTACATAAAATATATCCTATCTGTATTAAAGATCTTTTATATTGCCATAATCTAATTCACATACATAAGATTTCCCTAAAGAAACAAAGCTCTTGTTTCAACATATCATTCAATATGCTCTAAAATGCCTTGTCTGATCAGGTGCTGACACTGAGCCATTGGAAGATAGTGAGTGGTATTCTTCTGGAGTACCACAGTATCTCCTTCTTCTATCTCAAATTCTCCATAGTCTTGAAGACATCGAACCTGCATGCAAGATATTTATTCAGGTTATTAGTAACTTATTGGAAAGACTAAATAATAGAGGCATCCTAAACCTATATCAAAATTACATCAAATATATGAAACAATATCTGCAATCTAATTAGATATTTTCTTGAATTTAACAGAAAAAATTTAGAATTTAATATACTGCTCTTACATACCTCAATATACAGATTCTTTGGTGGCTTTATATCTTGAGTAAGATCAAGACCAGTTCCTTCTCCCAGCGATCTCATATATGAAGCCAAGTTCTTATTATATTTATTAAACCATATAATCTGTGAAGATAGATATCATGTCATTAACTCATTGCTGCTGGGGAAAATGAACAAAAAAATAGGGAAAATGCTGTGCCTATTTTCTATATATATATATATATATATATATATATATATATATATATATATATATTTTTGTGAAATGTCTGCCCATAGATGGCTCTGTTAGTGCCTGATTTGAAATGGCGGGAAAAACGTATTTTTCACTAGTGCCATGAATATTGATGGTGTTATTTTTATTATAAACATAATTTTTATAATGTTTTTTTAACATTAGTAACAGCGAAATAAGATAACGTAAAATATTTCGTAAATCAAAGAAAAGGGTGAACGGGCGAGACAGGCGGTACTCATAACTGGCTCATTGGTGATTTAGTACAAGTGTAGCCATCTATGTGTAAAAACAATCCAACAAGTAATCTCACAGTAGGCATGGCATGGCAAGGCATGCCCATCAGCAATGGGTTAATGACTAACTTTATTTCAATCCTTATAAAAAAATCTAAAACCATTATTCATATTTATTCAATTTATTCATAATATTCAGACATTGTTTCTCCACAATACCTAATATATGAACATATCACACAACAATGTGAAATTGGGGGAAAGGCAAATACTGCATTTCGTAATATTTGTTTAGTTTCTGCCTGCTGTGTATGAAGCATGAAATGTCTCATATGAAAATCGCAAGAGAGAGATATAGAGAGATATAGATAGATAGAGAGAGGAGGAAGAGGAGGAAGAAGAGGAAGAAGAAGAGGAGGAGGAGGAGGAGAAGAAAAAAGGAGAAAGAGGGAGAGGGAGAGAGGGAGGGAGGGAGGGGGAGAGAGAGAGGAGAGAGAGAGAGAGAGAGAGAGAGAGAGAGAGAGAGAGAGAGAGAGAGAGAGAGAGAGAGAGAGAGAGAGAGAGAGAGAGAGAGAGAGAGAGAGGACTTTTGTTTTTGTTTAGGAAATCAAGCAAAAAAGCCAAAAAAAGAGGAAGTGTTCTTATACTGTTTATAATGTTGATAAATAAAAATCATATAAACAATTGTGAAAGGTCTTAAATGAACTAGGGAAATACAAGGAGAAATGTATATTAACTTGATTTCAAGTGTATAAATTTGACTCACCTCAGGTTCACACATATTAGCTCTGATATCTGCAGGCAGGATACTACCAAACTCCCATCTCATGTCACGCACTCTCTCCAATCTATTGTACCTGTGGTTATTTTACATGTTAACAAAATCAGACTCAAATTTCACAATTACATATAATATAGTTCATGGTCCTTTTACAGTATGCCTGTCTGCATCAGAAAAAATAAAGGAAGAAAGATGATTTTTTTTTATTGCTATGTATTTAAATTTCATATCTTGGCTAAATTTTAGATAAAAGTCAATTTTTAACTTTCTGTGCACCTGGTACTGTTTCATTTTACTTTTATTCATTTATACAGTGACTTCAAAATAATTTGTAATACAGTACTGTAAATCTTTAGTTGAGCTGAAAGGAAGGTAAAACCAAAGAAAGCAGCATAAAATTAACCTACTTACAAATACGCCAGAAGACAACGTCTATTCCTCTCTAGGGCAGCATGCCTCAAGTGCACTCCAGAGAAGTAACGAACATCACCAGCCACTGTTGCATTACTTTGACAAAACAAGAATGAAGATATCATTATCTATATCTATCTATATATATATATAAACTATTGCAAACATCATAAAAATAAATATTACAACCACTAGCAACAAGGAGATGCACAACGTGACCAATGATAAATAATTCAAAAAAATTATGAAATAATAATCAATGTAATATGGCCTGATATAAAAGAAAATATAACAGTTTGCATTTACTCATAACCACTAAAAATTACAACAAATGAAAAGCTACTCACACATCTTGCTGATTCTGTTCAAATAGTGTGTTCATCTCTTCCAACACTAAACGTATAGTATCCTCCTGTTTTAAAATGAATATTATCAAAACATTTAAACTGCTAAATATACTACACTGACAACTATTGATTTTGTCAGTGTAGCATACATGATGATTTAAGCCAGCTGCTCAGCAGCTATAATACAATTGCCAAAGATCTACAAAGAGCATATACAGTAAGTCTCCAACTTAAGAATATAATGGGGACCGAGAGGCTGTTTGTAAGTTGATTTGTTTGTGTGTCGAAAGTCAGGTCTCCATTACCTTTTCTCCCATTGTTTTAAAGTTTTGTTTACATTAAGAATGCCTGTAAATAAATCCCAATAAGTACGACATACCTTATACAGTAACAGACTCTTGAACTAAATTTGTGCCCAGGAAATTTTAAGTTTGCTAGCATCTTTTTGACTTTAGTACTTAAAAAATTTTGTTTGTATGAATGGAATGTTCATAAGTAAAATGTTCTTAAGTAGGGGACT